GTCATCTAGACCAAGATGAATATAATATGTGGTTCGGGAATTATCGGGCGGCCCCCGGTCCGGGCGTGGGCCCCACATGCAATATACTATTCACGTAAAGGAAATAATAAAATTTACAATTACGCAAATTCATAAATCATCCTTCAAGGTTTATTACATAATTTACTAAAAGTAAATATGCTCGGGGACGGTGCTACATCTTCTCTTGAAGATGCTTGTACCCCTCTTCCTCGCTGAGGTTCCCAATCTCCCGCTTCTTACTATTCAGATCGTAGAGGGGAATGGTGTTCAGGTTGATCCAGACGTTTGCTTTCGTAGGGGGGCCTTGATGAGGGGAACCCCTGACGAACTGGGATAGATGGCCCCTCTCTATCAATTTCTCGATAGCAGCATTCAACTGGTGGCAGTCATCGATTCGATGCCCTGGGTGGTGGTGTAAACGGCATTATGGTTCGTTGGGATTGATAGCGTACACCTCCTGAGTTGCCCTGGAATCTCGATCCACTAGACCCCTCTCCTCTGCCTAGTCCAGAATGACGCTGATAGGATGAGTCAATGGTGTCTGAGGGTGTTCCAAAAGCGTGGGCTGTGTCCAGGCTCTCGGATTGTTTTTGTAACCTCCCTCGGACTTGGCTTGGCCATGCCAGGGGTAATCACCAAAGGGGGCATGCACCTTCGCTCGATGAGGCAGAGCCCCCCGGATTCCGATGGTTTTTGCCTTATGGCTTGTGGGGCTACTCAGAGCTTCGGTGATATTTATCTACCTCCTCAGCTTCTGCGTACCTGTCTCCCCATTAGAGGGCCCTTATGTAGTCACGGGGTGGTTCGGTGATGAGGCTCCTTGAGAAGTTTCCAGAACAGATCGTCTGCAAGAGAGCCATCAACATCCTATCGTTGGCGCCGTCGACTTTGTCCGTCTCCTGCCTCCTGCGTTCCAAGAAATCCCGAAGGGTCTCCTCCTTCTGTTGTCTTACTGTTAATAGGTGGGAGAAATGCTTCTTTGACTGGTCCCTTCTTGCGAATTGCGTTAGGAAACGCTTCGCGAGTTCTTGCCACGAGTCAATACTCCCTTCGGGTAATCGGTTGAAACATTCGTACGCTGGTCCTTCCAAGGTAGAGAGGAACCTACAACACAAATATTCACCCGAGGCCCCCATCATCATCATGCTATTTTGGTACCTGCTATAGTGCTCCTGGGGATCAGTCTTCCCTTCATATGGCCTGATGGTCTGCCCTCAGTACTTTCCAGGGATCTTTGCCGCCAATACCCTTGGGGTAAAAGGCGTCTTCGTGCGAAGTTGAATGAGAGGCTCCCCCGAGCCCTTGACGAGCTTTTTCTGCATCTCGTCCATCTTTTCTAACATGGCGGCGTAGTTGGGATTTGTCTGGGAGGCGAAGGCTGTTGTCTGGCCTGACGGACCTCCATTTCGTCAAGTCGTCGTTGGAGGGCCTCAATAATATCATCCTTATGATCCTTCGGGATTGACTCCGCCCCAAGTGATTGTACGCGGGCTGAGTGAGCTTGGTTGATCTGGTGCCTGGTGTCATCAGCATGTAGCAGTCCCTTGCCCTTGTCTCGAGGGGGACGCCTCTCATCTGCCCTCGAGACGGATCCTCCGCTCTCCTGAGGCCTTTCGAATGCTTTACATCCGAGGCGGTCTTAGACCCCCCGGTGATCTTGCGCTCCTCCGATCCTGTCGTGGGCGGAGGTTCAGGGCCTATCCTTGATTGCACCACGCTGATCCCGGGATTGAACTTCCTGGGACGCGGTGTCCTGAGCAACGACCCCCTCATTATTCTCGATTCTTGGAACCTGGCTTACGAAGGGGAGTGGAGGTGGTGGGAATGGAATGACGTTCTCCCCAACGTGGGTCTGGGGCGGTACCAGAGCCCCGAAGGCACCAGGGTTCTGGGTGAGAGTGTGGATGAAGGCAGAGAAAGCCAATTGTACGTCGGTAGTCAGGTCTGAAGGGCTTACTTGGTTTTCACTCCGGTCCTTCCTACGGTTTTCGAGGTCGACACAAGCATCGGGAGCATTCTTCTGGAGCTGAAGGCGCAGGTCAGCAGCAGCCTGCTCCATTTCAGTGAAGGCCTTCGGGAACCTTGTTTGAAGTTTCAGCAGCGTTAACCTCACGAGGCCTAGATTCTTGTCTTCTAGGGTCTTGGATTGACCTCGAGTTCTTCCCATTCTGATGAGTGTTTTTGTTTTCTGGGGGAGGGGTTCTTACTTGATTGTTCGACCTCTCAACGAGAGCACCAAATGACGGATAGTATATCCGGGGGATACCGCTGAAGGGTATCTAGAGAGTAGTCAGAACAAGTAAGAGAGAGTAGGTATGTATTATAAATGAACTCGAGATTCGGGATCCTTTACAATGAAGAAGAGGCTAGCTATTTATAGCTGCCATAAATGCGGTGTGAATAATGCAAGTACACGTGTCAAGTAACCAGCGGTGGAGAGTCAACTTAGCTAGGCATAACATGTGGCACCGGCATAGCATGTGGCACCGCGTTTAATGCGGTGGTTGGACGTGACACAGCATTTAATGCAGTGATTCAGAGCATGTGAAGAGGAGATCCTGTCGAGGAGAGTGTCCTCGGCTATATGCACCCAGGGGCTGCATGTGTCGAAGGCCATGTTTCCATGTATAAGCCGAATGCTACCTGTGCCGAAGGCCGTTCATATCCAGGGGCCATTTGGGCCTTGGTGGCGTGTTGGGACGTACGTCCCCTGAACTAGGGGGAAAGCGTCTGCAGTTGCCCTAAGTTCTTGGAGACGTCCGTATTGCATTGGCTTCCTTGGCATGGTTTCCCGCCAATGGGGGGCGACGATCATCCCCAGGCATTGGTTACCTGGTGTCTCGTGATGTGCTGGAGGACGTACGTTGCTGGGGAGGACCTCATGTGCTGAAGGACGTACGTCCCCTGGGGCCGTACGTAGCTGGGGAGGACTTCATATGCAGGAGGACGTACGTAGCTGGGGAGGACCTCATGTGCTGAAGGACGTACGTCCCCTGGGGCCGTACGTAGTTGGGGAGGACTTCATGCGCTAGAGGATGTACGTCCCCAGAGGGCCGTCATGTGGTGAAGGACGCACGTCCCCAAAGGGCCGTCATGTGGTGAAGGACGTACGTCCCCAAAGGGCTTTCATGTGGTGAACGACGTACATCCCCAGTGATGTTCCTGGACCAGGTGGGACGTACATACGTTTCTGGACTTACGTAGCCTGTTGTAGTATGGGCTGTCCGGAGTCCAGTTTGCTTTGTTTGGGCCACTTGGGCCTGTTGGGCCTGATTGTAGTAGTTGAAGTATGTGGGCCGGGGGTTTCTGGGCCATATACTCCATCATCGTGTTTATAGAATCTTTATGTAATACAAAGTAACAAAGTTGTCAGAACTTTTGACTCCAATTTGTTGGAAAAATGTGTTAAATTGCATTAAATGGTCAATTTGGGGAAGAATTCTGAGTGGGTCCCACTTCCGATTTGGGTCGGGTCAAAGTGGTTTCAGATTCCCCTTGTTAAGGGCTTCAATTCGATATGTGGTACACTCAAAACGGATAACAGGTGAATGACTCGTTGAAATGGAGAAAACCGGGAAAATGATGGGTTTCTAGTGTGACTTATCCCACACCAGAAAACCCAAGGAATTTTCACCCCTCATAAAGGTGACCCCCTTTGAAGGAGTTAAGATTTTTAGGTGAAAAGACTCTCTTCACATGCAGGGAGGATGCCGATCAAATCCCGAAAACGGTGAAGAAAAATCGTGACTTGCGTGTGTGGGTGACCTGCGGACATGAATGTCGTCCAAAAATGTAACGTTCCTATTTTTTTCAGAATCACATCAGAAGCGGTTCTGTTCTGCTCGCAAACTAGAACGGTTTTGAACCGTTACAGTCTTTAATATCAACATTCTTCTTCTTTAATATGTCTTTAAATGGACAGTTTTTAGACATATTAGTGCCCAACCTTCTGGTCATTTATGTTTAGCGCTCAGGTCCATTAAAACTCACTTAACACACAATAAATTCGTCTCTGTATAGTTGGCAGGTGATTTGCAACAACACACGATACGACATAGTTACCACATAGTTTTTGAGTTAAAAGTTTCCTCCAGCTCTCTGAAAAATCCTAAGTGTTCATACTTTGTTGGGAAAAGGGTTAAATAGACACTCGAACTAACTTAAAAGGTACAAATCATCGCTTATATAGGAGGCTCTGTCCAGCCATCGCCATTTGGGGAGGTTCCCGGTGGAATTTTTTGATGAAATTTTTTTATCATCATCTTCATTAAGTCTAGTTTACTCATACCAAATTTCAGCTAAACATTCAATCGGGAAGGCGATCAAATGAATTTTTGAAGATAACTGCGCAGGTAAACAACGCAGTACATTTCAGAAAATCATTTGAATGTCTTCCCGGTTGAATATTTTTCTGAAATTTGGTATGGGTACACTAGACTTAATGAAGAAGATGGTAAAAAAATCATCAAAGAATTCTACTGGGAACCGCCCCAAATGGCGATGATCGGACAGAGACTCCTATATAAGGGGTGATTAGCACTTTTTAAGTTAGTTCGAGGGTCTATTTGACCATTTTCCTACTTTGTTTCTGTTCGCCGGAAAACCCAATTGTTTGCTCATACGATTGTTCGTAACCACCATACCCTGAAAACTATCGCTGCAACGCTCTTAGCATCGTGGAAGACAACGAATACATTTTAAGGAAACTGTGTGTTGCACAAATTTTGAGTTTATGTCCCTCCTTGTTTCTGTTTTCTTGGCTATTTTAATTAATTAATTTCTTTACTTTCCGATTAAACATGTAATTCACCCAACACAATTTCACGCCCAATGCCTATAAAAATAAAAGAAATGTATATATTAGAATATTCTGCGATTGAAATAAAGGAATTAAGAATTTAGTTATTAGTGTGTATGTATCGTCATATATAGCATCAATCAAATAGCAATGTCAATAAAAGGAAATAGAATTTGGAAATGCTAATTAAAATATCCCAATGAATCTTCCAAAGTCTAAATTATTATATGTATCTAACAATTTTACTATTATTAATAAGTAATCAAGTTTTTTAACTGTTAATAGTAATGGGCTTTTGCCTTGAATATTACTAAAATTAAGCTAATTTCTAAAAATGTGACCATTTGTACATTTGGACAAAAATATGACTAAAATGGTTATATATTTGGAAAAGTTAAAGTGACTATCAAATGTCCATGTTGTTGCCCAATTTCATGTCACTATCATATGTCAAATCATTGCGACCATGTCCCGTGTCACAGCGGCCGCTGGTCACCGCCAATCACCTCCATCGACCATAGTGAAACCGCCGTCGGCCACAGTGACACCGGCCACCGTGACATTGGCCAAAGTGACACCGGTACAGCCGGTCAGTGATATAGGTCATAGTTTTCAACCAAATCTGCTCACCGCCAGCATCGCCATCCCGCCGGCACCGCCACCCACCAGCACTGGAACCCAGCACCCCAACCCCAACACCCCTTCCCTTGTTCACAGTCAAGCTTCGACCAGTCCCAATCTAGCCCAGACCAGACCCAACAGCCCTGATCTAGACACCCCAACCCCAACACCCCTCCCCTGTCCACAGCCCAGCTCCGACTAGGCCCAGTCTAACCCAGACCAGACCCAACAACTCCGATCTAGCCCCAACAATCTACCCTACAACCGCTGCACCACACCTACACTCCGTCCCCATCTCCTAGCCGCCTGTCGTTAGTCAGATAATGTCGCAGTCTCGAAGCCTTAACCACACCGCCGCATCGCCACCATAGTCGCAAAATCCAAGTACATCGCGACTGGACAAAAGGAGTAGAAGAAGAGATGATAGGTCTCGACGCGGATGGAGGCAATGTAGGTGTCTTCGTCAGCGATGGAGACATGCGACTGAGAGCAGCTGTGAGAGAAGTAGGCGTGGAAATGAAGTGGAGATGTGAGAGAAGCAGGCGTGAAGTGAAGCGGATGGGAGAGATGCAGAGACGCGAGACGATTAGGGCCTTACGGATTTAAATCATATTTTTGTCCAAACAAAAAGTGGTCATATTTTTATCCTTTGAAACTCCCCTAGTAATATTTGGACCATTCTTTTAATAGTAATCAACTAAGCAAACATTTATTCGAAAAATGATGATGATGATGGTAGTGGTACTACTACTACTACTACTAATAATAATAATAATAATAATAATAATAATAATAATAATAATAATAATAATTAATAATAATAATAATAATAATAATAACAACAACAATAGTGATCTACGAAATTTAGTTATAATGTAGTAATAGTTTTGTTTTACATATTATATATTTGATTACTATATAAAGAGAAAGTTGCATTGTAACTTAGTTATGTTTTTTTTTTATAAAAGAACAACAACAACAACAACAATAACAATAATTGTGTGGCGCCATTAAGGCAATTTGTGTGACATTAAGACTCGACGGTGATTTTAGACAAATACTCCATGTTGAGATTTATTCCTCCAAGCCCAAGAGCCCAACACATTCCATTGGCTTTCATCGGATGTTTTGGTGAGTTGTGTGAATTTTTATAGGTTAAGTATGCAGGGATCATCATCACATCACGTGTGAGGTTAATACCTCTCTGTATGCAGGGATCATCCGGTGAACACAACGTATCCTTCTATCTTCGTGCCATTTTAAGTCTCGAAAAATCAATATTTATTCATGTGGGGGATTGTTAGAAAAATGTGTTAAAATTGCATTAAATGGTTAATCTGGGGCAATATTTTGAGTGGGATCCACTTACGATTTGGATCTGGTCAAAGTGATTTTGGATTGTCCTTGTTAAGGGCTACAATTCGATATGTGGTACATTCATAACGGATAATGGCTGAATGAGAAATTGATTCTCGAAGTTCACTCATTGAAATGGAAAAACTAGGAAAATGATGGGTTTCTAGTGGGATTTATCTCACACCGGAAAACCCAAGGGATTTCACCCCCTTATAAAGGGAACCCTCTTTGGTGGAGTTAAGATTCTTAGGTGGAAAGACTCTCTTCGCGCGGGGTACCTATCAAATCCCAAAAACGGAGAACAAAAACTGCGACTTGCGTGCGCGGGTGACCAGTGGACACGAATGTCGTCCAAAAATCAAAGACACATTTTTTTTGCTTCTTCCCGTAACTGCCTCAGTTCTCCAGAATTGCATCAGAACTCTTCTGTTCTATGCACACCAGAAGATGTGTTGTTCTGGTCGCCCCGGAACTAGAAAACGTGTTGTTATGCTGGTTCTGGACCATTACAGCAATAAATGTCCAACGTTCTTATGTCATTATGCAGCGATTAATGGACAATTCTTGGACGATTCAATGCCCAACGATCTGGTCATCGGTGTCCAACGTTCAAGTCCATTAACTCTCTATTAACACACAACAAATCCTTCCTATAAATAGCTGGCAGGTGCTTTGCAACATAAACACGTTCATACACATCCTCACGTACTTTAGAGGGCTAAAACCACCTCTAGTTTCCAAAAATATTCTTCCGTGTTCTACCTTTGTTCCTGTTCGGCGGAATAGTTGTTTGTGTGCTCAAACGATTACTCGTTAGCCACTGTATCCTGGGAGGCAACGAATACGTTTTAAGGACAAAGCTTTGACCAATTTCTGTTCCATCTTATTTTCCATTTTTTCTTTAGCTATTTTGTTCATTGTAATTAATTAATTACTTTATTTTTTCGAGACACACCCAACCGTTCCCGGGTCGGATTTGTTTTTGAAATACCATGTTTCTTCATAGTCTCAGCGCCGTTGGTGAAAAAGGGTTGCTTTTGTTGTTCCCCGAATCAAAGAAGGGAGAATGAGAAGAGCTATCAATTGTAAGAAATTTACTAAAAATTTGGATAACAGGGGTGGGGTTGCTTTTAGATCTGAAAAAGAGTTGAGGGAAGAGGACTGGAGAAATCAAAAGCGGATGGGAAGATTTGAACAAAGATGAAGTTTTCAACTTCGTGGTAACTCCCTCAAGATGCAAACCAAATGTATCTTTACAAAAAATCGTCAAGGCGGAGTTTGGCGGTGGGAATTCCGGCATGCTTCTCGAGTCCTCCTTCACCCTTAATGTTCGGCTTGAGGCACGATCTTTCTTTCTTCTTGCTCAATCTCCTCATTGTTGCTACAGGTCCGTCATCTTCGCAGATACTAAAATGGAGAGCTCCACATATGAAAAAATGGTGGGACAAGAACAAAGAAACGGAAGAATAAAGAAACGGAAAAGTACCCGCACGGGTAGCTCAGTTGGTTCAGTGGTGGGAAATTTGGACCAAGTGACCAAGGTTCGAAACCCTCAGCGGCCGTGTGGAGGTCACAGAACCTGAAATAAGGCTGGGCCTCTGGTGCGCACGGGAAAAAGGCCTACCATCATTGGGCCGACTGAGTCACCGTGATTAACATCCTCCCAAAAATCATGTCGGGTCGGGGTATGGGGGGCTCCTGAGGTGGGAGATTCCATCTTTTTTGGACCAAAGAAACGGAAAAGTAAAGAAAAATAGAATTAAAAAAATTAGAAAACATTAAAAAAACACATATGCAGTCCATGTCAGCATTCAACCGGAAAACCGGGTGTTTACAGTCAAAATAGCTCAATTGAGTCTTTATTTAAAGTTTAGGGTTCAATTAATTGATTTTGAAGGATGAGAACCTAATTGACGTTTTTGCAATAGCAGGATGACCTATTTGACAGTTTTCCTTTTTTGCTTTCTAAAATAAAAATAAGTTTTGCATAGTGTCATAGTGAGATTTTGCGTTTAAACCGTCGAGTGTACTCCCAAGGAGTATATATGACATAGAACAAAGCGATAGAAATAAGTGATATTATGTGGCTTTAGAGCATCATTAATGGGACATTGTTAACATCCTATAAATGTTGACACATGGCTATTAATAAGTGGAATTGTCTTCCACCTCATGTTGAGTCACGTAGGTAGACATTTAAAATTCCAAAATCAGGTGCAATGGTTATATGTCAACTGCCTATAGAATCCTAGCCACGTATTACTTTCAAATTCAATAAATCTCATACGGTTGATTTAATCAAAACCCACCTAGACGAAATCACGATCTCCCCTGCTTCCTGTCGGTTTGCCATTGCAGAAGCCTTTGGAATTTCAAAGAAAACTAATATGTTCTGTAAACTTGTACAAGATCGATGGGATCCTCGGAAAAAACAACAGATCGATTGTCAAGGGTTCAAAGCACGAACACCGGTAAATAAAAACCGAGCCAGACAAATAAATAATAAAAAAAGCACTTTGCATCTTTAAGATATGGCCATATCCTGTATTGCTGTTCCAATTCAAAGAGATATTTATCGGGAGAATTTCCTGATATTTATCCACAAATTTGGTTGAGTTTCTGCTCCACGTTTGCTGAGTCAGCGTGTGAAGGGCGCTGTTAGGTGAAGACATGGAGGTAAACAACGTCGAAAATAAAATTGTACATGTCATCATTACAGGAGGATAAGAATAGTGCATTGGAGAGGAAAATTTTCCCATGCTGTTAAATAGGGATTACGTAGCTCGTTTTTTTAATGTGAACACCTTCTGATTGAAGATGCTCTTAGGCTACTTCGAATAGAGTACTTGCCCTAGAAATTTGTTTATTTTACTTATACAATTTATTTTGCAATTACATTTGCTAAATTGGTCATCATATGCATCACTACGGCCTTCTATTTTTATGTTTTCCGCATAAGACTTATCAAACTTCAAATGAATTAAATATTTATTCTACACACTACAACAATTGAGGCCAAAGCAACACACTACAAGGCTCATTTTAGTCTTTTATCTGAACCGTATTTGTCCATAAGAATTCTATTCTAGAGGGAGTAGGAAACTATTGCTAATACTAATAGTTGATAACTAGTCTATTTTAATAAACAAGATTAATAACTTTTGTCGATTCAAGTCTGAACTCTCTCGTCTCTGGAGAGAGAGGAACCTTAGCGGACGTCTCCCTTCTTTGTAGGGGTTGAGATTTTCCGCCTCCCTTATCAATGTGGGATTGGAGCGACAGATTATATTGATTTTAAGTGTTCTAACACTTGGGATTGCAACTACGTTGAAGGAGATATCATTGGCGGATGAACGAGGTGCGGCTGGGAGATTGTATCGAGGTTGAATCGTCAAGTCTTGATCGGCCATTCCGACGATTGTGGAGTTGGTATTCACCCCTATTGCAAGAGCACGTCCTCCTCCAGAACCACCTCAATACCAGGTAGAGCTTTGTGGAAAGATTTTATTTCAGTATTATTTTCTCTTTAGTAACAATTGTTTTTGTTTTAGTACGAGTAGATTTGGTTTGAATGTTTGGATTTTCGGAGTTCTTTTGATAGACATGGTTTCGGTTCCAGTCGTTTTAGGCCTAAAGTTGCCCGTTTTAGATTTAATGAATCATGTTGCTTTGTATGAGGTGGCTGACTCTAAGTCTACTCTTAAATTTCACGATTGGATCTGTAAATTTTGTCCGAAGGTTGTCTTGTATGTCTTCTCGATTTTAATGTAATCGCCGCTCTTTTATGATAAAAAAAAAACTTTTGTCGATTCCTATGGGCAATTGCAAAACACAGAGGCATTTACCCATAAAATGCAGAAAACAACTACTCCGTATAAAAGTAAAATCCCATAAAATGCTAAAAACAACTACTCCGTATAAAAGTAAAATCAACAACAATAGTAAAACATTTATGTCACTAGGAAAGTTTGAGAACATATGGGATTTCTCCACTTTTGCAATTATGCACCAGCTCCGAAGAAATCTAGTCGTCAATCATGTTGATGTTCCGCAGGCTCTATTGAAGCCTTGTCGGTCGTGAGGAAGTTCATTCGTCGATCATATATGAGTTATTGTTTCTAGAGAAGATTTACCGAGGAACGACGCACTAGGTCGCAGTGGTTTGATTGCCATATATCTGCTCTCGCTCTTTCAAGATGGAGGTTTGAAGAGGTAGAAGATTATTTGTGATTGATTTCAAATTCCAGGGGTGGGGGCGAGAGAATAGGTGGAATAGATTGGTGATTAATTTCCAATTTCTTGGTCCAAAATCAAGAAATTTCCAATTTCAATTCCAATTCCATTAAAATCAGCTCAAATCCAAAAGAAAACAATTCATGAAATAGTTGGGGACACTCGAATTCAACATGAAAAAACCAAGTTGAGCAATGAGTACACCCAAATTAGGGATGGACTGGGACAGGTCGACCAGACTCGAAGAAATGCAGGCCCGACCCGGCCGGCCTGGGCGATACCGGGACTGGGGGTCCGAACCGGGTAAAGGGGGGTGGGCTACGGGACTTGAAAATGGCTGACCGGCTCGGCTGGTCTGGGCCTTTTTTTTCATTCATTGGCTGCTAGGTGGGTGGGGCTGAGTGGTTTCGGGGTGGGGTAGGAATAAATTCGAAAAGCCATTTTAAAAAAAATAAATAAATAAAATTGACCGACCTGGGCCGGGGCCGGGCCGGTCCCTGTACAAACCCGAGCCGGTACCGGGCCTGCAATCCAAAACCCTGGTCCCGCCCAATTCCGTCCTAGGGCCCGGCCCGGACCCCGTCCAACCCTAACCCAAATTCTTGTGGAATTCTAAATTCGTTTCAAAGCTAGATCGGGGACACCCCCTAAATGGCCTTTTGGCCTAGGTATTTCTAAAAATAGGATAAAAGACAAAAAGTGATCTCTTTAAAAATTCCAAAAATGTAACCAACATCACAATTAAACCCTGCAATGCAAAGTGACTCAGATCAAAATTACTCCAGCCAAAGTGACTCCGCCGCCACAATGATTGACCACCGGCCACAGTGACTGCCCCACCAATCACTGTGACTCCGGCCAAAGTAACTTCGACTAAAGTAACTCCAACCAAAGTGACTCCGGCCACAATGACATGTCGACTCAATCAGCGGCAACACCACGATTGTCGCTCCACCGCCACCAACACCACAGTCATCGCCCCCGACCCCTTAAGCCCCAACCCCAACCCCAGTCGTAGTCCCCCTCTCCTACACCCCTTCCCAGATCCCCAGATGCAGCCCTATCCACTACTCTCCTCCATAATTCCCCAACCGCCTCCCACCACCATGTCCTACCACGCCCCATCGCTTCCCAAACCCCGATCCAAACTTGTAAGCCTAATTCCTGCTACCCCAACCCACCAAGCCTCTGCCCCTCTCCGGCAGCCACCCTCCTGGGGGGGTCATCAGCCCAACCCCACTTCGGCGGCCACCCTCTCGCCCCCACCAGCCCAGTCCCCTCACCATCCGCTCAGCAACGCAGATCTGAAAATCTGACCACCACTTCCACAGATCTCATGTGAATCATCTTTGTTCATCGTGAAGATCATTTCCGATGGGTGCACCAGAGCTTCGTAAATCATCGATGGAATCGACTCCAACGTGGCTTGGTTAGAGAAGAGAGATGACGAATTTTAGCTGGGATAGATTGATGCTTCACTGGGAGTGAAAATGGAGAAGACGAGAGAAATTAGATGCTTCGCTGGGAAAGGAGGCGACGGGATCTAGGCTGCTCTGGCTGGATGGGGGCTACGACGTACTGCAGAGGACTTGCGGAGGACGTGCATCAGCAATTTGTAGTTGACCGGTGAAGGCCTCATGAAGTGATGAATGCAACGAAAATGGGTGTGGAGGTGAGGCGATGGATTGGTACGACAAAGAAGACAATCATATTTTTAGAAAATATGAAAAGACTCATATATTTGGAAATCAAAAGTCTGACCATTTTTTCTTTTTGCTTGAACCAAAGTCCACACACATACACATATGTAGTACTCCCTCCGTCCCTAATAACTTTGCCAAGTTTGACCGGTACGGGGATTAATAAAGTAAAAACTGTGTGGTTGATGTTTGTGCAGAGGAGAGAGAATTAACTGGAACTACAAATTCTTTACTTAAAAAGAAAAGTGGCAAAGTTAGTGGGACATCCAAAAAAAGAAAGTTGGCAAAGTTTTAAGGGACGAAGGGAGTATAAAATTTCCACTTATTAAAATTTAGCATAATCCCACCCCCAGGATGGATTTAGGGGGTGGGAGGGGGGGGCGACCGCCCCTCTTGGACTTTTAAAATTTTCCATTATATATGTAATATTTTCATAAAATTTTTCATTCTTTAATTAGATATGTATGTGTTCGCCCCTTAACTTCTAGTTTTCAAAATTAATATACTCCATATAGCCTTACATAATGTAAAACTTAATTGGAGATTTAAAAGAAGAAACGTCTAAAATAATTTACATACTTATGCAAATAAACAATATAATAGAACAACTTTGATCATTGTTTAAGACTTGGGATATTTATTAAATAAAAATTCCTAGTTTTGTAATGTTTAGTTATCTTAATTAGATAATTAGTACTTGATTTTGTAAAATATCAAATGATATTAAGTATTAACTACGAGACACACTAGTTAAATAATTTTTAGATCATGTGAGGTGAATCCAAAATATAAATTTTATTGACATTAAATTACACAATTCATTTACTTGTTACGTTCTACAAACTAACTATTGCATAGATAATAAACTTTACCTTATTTTAGCATTAATGCAAATATAACATGCACCATATATATGAATCAACAATATAATATTATTCTAAAAATAACAATGCCATACATGCCATTGTAATAATAAGAAAACTCTTCATGGCTCACAATCACCTTCTTTGTTAGACAAAAATTGTAATTCAAAAATCAATTCTTTATTCTAATAAAGATTCATGGGGTTAAACAAGGCAAAAGTTATTTAAAAAGTATTGATGGATGTATACCTTTTAAACTCTTTATCTTCAAATAACTTTGCTTTAGGTTGCTATTTCTTACGATTTAATGTATCAATAGTTTTTTCAGAGCATTTCAATTATTAAATTAAAGTTATTTTTCTATTGTCTAAACTTAGAATGTAATAGTTTTAAATATCGTCATGTATGTATTAATAAAAAAATTGCATAAAAAATTGCCGCATAGCCCTATAATAGCAAAAAAAAAAAATTGTCCCGCTACACTAGCGGAAATTAAAATTTTCGGGCTACACTAGTGAAAAATTATCACTCCTACACTCATGAAAAAATTTCGCCCCCCAACAGAAATCCTAGGATTTGATCACAGAAGAAACTCCCAAACCACCAAGGATTTGATCATTCAATTTAAAGAAGAAATATTTAGAGAAACCTAACCAGGAATTTGTGTTTCCCTAATAGAACGGCCACTGCTGCTGGCCTGCTGCTATGCAGCAACCGCATTCTATAATCACATGGAAGAATGTTATGTGACTTGGAATGCATGCACGTTGTTTCCGAATGTGGGTAGGCAGGTAATGAGCTCTCGGAAAAAAATGCAAAACTACTACGTGCATATCCATCCACGCACTAACTTGCCTTGTAGGAATACATATAACTTCTAAGCCTTTTCACTTCTTCTGATGAATCATTAAGTAAAGAGTCCACGTACAGGCAGATCCCAGCTCCACTGCAACCAGGGATCAGACAATAAAAACTTATTTAATTAACGAGATATCTTCTTTGAGAATTGTCAATTCCCATAAACAGACCAATGAATAAATAAATACCTTACTGGCCCAAATGGGAGCCACAAAATATCCCATCTAAACTTTGCCAATCTGCATTACATATGACAGACAATCACACAACAAATTGTATGAATGATGCTGATACTGCCCTAGGGAGATGGCATTGGCCTTTAATTTCCACCATCTCCCTTTTTCATGGACTTGGTTTCAGAATAACCTGGGATTTCTCTCAATTCAATTTCTTGAAATTGGAGGTGGCAGGCATCAAATGTCCCCTGCACTGGTTCCCCAGGAGTCCAACCCATTGCTGCCATCACATACGATTTCATGGATATAGTTCCCAGTGATTCAACTTCGTCACCAAATCAATCAAAATAGGTTGATTAATGGCGAGAAGCCAAAAACTCACTATTTTTTTGCTTGAGATATGATGGAATAAAGCAAAATGGCTCACTAAACAGTCTGCCCTTCTCTATTATAAAGCAGCAACCAGTCCATGCAATTTTCGACGCGATTTTCACTATGGGTCATCCGGAAACAGTCTCTTTGTGCTTTAATACAGGGGCAAGACTGCGTACATCCGACCCCCCTTACCCCCACCGAAGGTGGGAGCCTTTGTGTCATTGGGGTAATGATGATGATGAATGGCGAGAAGCACGACTGCCTCATGTATATGCATGACATTCCACGGCATGGTGCCGTATACCGTGGGTGATAATGACCATGTAGTAGAACAATATTAAAGTGGGGCACAGAATAAGAGGTGAAGGGCATGCAGAACTAAAGAACACATTGAGATTAATACTTATGACAACACTAAAGAGTCCTAGACAATGTGATAGGAACCAGTTGTTTATTCTACACTGTACAGTGTGGTATACAACAAAGAACAAGAGTAAATTCCCTAACTAGGAGTAAATCATGTTAAACGTGAAAAACTAAGACTTCAATGTTCCGTAGAAGTTAAAAGAAGTGAGTTGACATTACTACCCTTAATGAAAAAGTCAATTTGTTTATTAATAGTAGTAGTTAATATTATTATAAAACATCATAATAAAACAAAATTCAACACAGGTGCAGTGCGTGGAGTCGTGGACGACATCAAGCGGCACCAGAACTGGTGGGCGACGGCCGCCATCTCCAGCAGTGCCACCGCTGGACGCCTCATTTGCAGCAGCAGTGGCCGTTGCTTTTCGCCGCCACATTCTCCAGTGCCGCTACCATCTCCTTCATCGTCGCCGCCCTCTGCGATTCCTCATCTTGTGCTGCCGCGTCTTCCATGATTGTCAAGTCCTCCTCATCTGATTCCTCATCACAAAAATAATGAAATACGGAGTACTTTGTACCATGTGAATTTTGACCCTCAATTGTGAAATTCAATGTCTCATAAAAGATGATAGGGACATGGACCTCCAATAAAAATAATAATAGTAGAATTATACTAAGGAGTGTGATATTGTATAAAGAAGGGTTTTGGGCTAGGTACTAGTTAGCTTGGGCCGGCCCATAAGGGAATTTATTATAAATAGGAGTGGAGTAGAATAAGAGGGTAGGCAGAATTTGGATCTGGAATTAGGCCTTGGGAGTGTTGAGACGACTCGAACTGTCTCTATTGTATCTTTCTGTTTTCCGTTCAGTACTATCATATCAATTCTACGTCAATTTTCATCTCTCCGACTCTGGTTCCTAATAATGGTATCAAAGCATTCGACGCCTGGAAACGTGGAGAAGCGCTCTGGTTTGCGCAAAGAACATCGACAGCAGAACTGGCCGCATCTGGTTTGCGCGCGAACAGTGAGAAACGCACCAGCAAGGAAAAGTTATGCGCGAACATGGAGAAGCTCCAGTCTACGCAAGGAGGAAAGGACTCGCGCAGGCAGCAGGGAAGATCTGATCAGGATGCTTCGCGCGGAAAAGGAGAGAAGCTGGCGGAAAAGGTTGAAAGTGATTGGGCTAAGGAGATGCGTCATATGTTGGGCAAAATTCGTCACAGACTCAAGCGGCATAGAGACAGAGCGAGGAGCCCTCCTAGACACCGTCGGCCAATTGAAAATAATCTGGTGTCTTCGTCCCTTGCTCTTCCTAGCTCGCAATCACGAACTGCATCCCGTAGTTCGCGGACATCTTCAAATTCGCAAGTCTCAACTCAATCACCAGCATCTTCTTCTAGTTCGCCAGCTTCACCGCGAAAGAGTTCTCCAGGTCGCCATCTCTAGTCGTTCGCCACCAATCGTCATCGCGAGAAGATCTTCGCAGTTCGCAGTCGCCATGTTTGCAGCTATCAGATTCGCTGAGTTTGCCGGTTTCATCTCAGCCGCAAACCTCTTCTCCTAGTACGCGAGCATCGTCGCTAACAGGATATTCCAGTTCACCAGTCCCTTTGCAATTCGCAGCTTACTGTTCGCAGGTTTCTTCTCAGCCTATAGCCGCGTCTCATAGTCCCAGTTCGCAGGTTTCAGTGACCAACTCTACCGGTCGGCAGGTTCTGACATGAACTGCTTCTCACTATGTGGAACCTCAATCGTTCCATCTGGAGTCTTTTATTCAGCTGCAACCTCCCTCAGAAGGCACTAATTCTTCGCGCCACAGGGAAAATATAAAAGATAGAGTTCAATTGGTCCCTAACAGTGCTGAGGATGTTCCGAGGGTCGCCAATCTAGGGCAAAATTCTGCTAGACAAGCTGGTAATTCTTCTCTGGAGACCAAGCTGCTGTCCGTGGGTGTTATGGGTGACCCTGGCAAAAATGAAGTTACCGTCAATCATAGGCAACTGGTAGATCAGGTAAAAGTCATAGATTCAACAGAGAGGAGGATTCAAGCACTGGAGTGGAATTCAGATCTTGTTGGGATGACTGTTGGGCCTGATGTTTTTGTCTCTCCAACTGGGCTCAGTCCTTTAATGTATCAACACTTGTCTTCCATATTAAAAGGGGAGTCAAACATACCCACATTCTCTGCTATCTATGGCATTCATTACACATTTAGGGAGATGAACGATGATGATATTCAACCCACAGGACATCCACCAGATAATCTGGAAAGGGCAGAAAATGTTGAGACCGATGCCAGCTCACTTTCAAAGCATGCTTTGCTTGAAGAGATAGTTGCTGAAGCTGCAGAGGAAACTGAGAAAGTAGCAGAGAGGAACGTTATGAAGAAGTATGCATTTTTGGTTTACTGGAAGAAATATGTAGATCACGAGGCACGGATGGGTTTGATGGATAAAACTGTTGAGGTACACGAGCGAGCAAATCAAGGAGGGATATATTCTGTAGGCGGGTGGTTGCATTACTGTGTATTTTCCATAAATACATATGGAGATCCTGACACAAGTAGAGGACTGTTTAAAGGTAGATTTGCACCTGAAGTTCCTCAATATCCTACTTTGGAGGTTTATTCTGTTGCTGCAAGAGCCATGGGCTCTCTTATATGGGGAATGAGAGAAGAAAATTTCCCACACTCTGTGCTTTGGCCGTTAGATACTCTGAAATCTGATGGCAGCAACATTGAGAGTTGTGGAGTTGCACAGGGCCTGAGCGAGTGGATGCATATGTTTACAGAGAATGACTTTATCCGGGAGGCGCAAAATGTGGAGCATTTGACAAATTTTTATGTTTTTTATGCGACTTATGATACTGTCAGTATAAATCAAGGGGGTGTAGGTGATCTGAAGGATGCAGGGATCAGAAGATTTCAACCAGACTTGGGTCAAAATGAATTTCAAGCATTTATAGTTGCAAATGTAGGCGATTCTCGTTGTGTCCTATCTAGGAAGAATCGGGCACTTGAGTTATCAAGAGATCACAAGCCTAATCTTGAAGATAAATCTGAGGGAGAGGTGAAACACTTACAACTATCTGCCCTAAGCAAAGAGGGACTTAGATTCCCTAGAACCTGCAAGGTACAAGGTGAGCTACAAATTCTGATATTACAGAAGTCTGGGGCCACTCTTAATCTCATATCTCAGAAATTGATAGAGGTGGTGCAGATGTACTATAAAGCAACGGTGAGGTTTCAAGTCAAGATGGGGAAGGGAGAGCAATTATCTCTGCAGAGCAGTTGTGAGGTACTACAGACTTGGGTACGAAATTCAGTGATGACTGAGGATTTCTATTTGTTAGACCTTGGAGAGATTTATGTGGTTCTGGGAATGGGACCACTAGCCAAACAGGGAAAGACAGAAAAATTTATGGAAACACAACATAAAGTGGTTGGGAGATGGGCCAGAGATGCAGTTGCTAGAAGATTTTAAACTCTGCAACATTGTGGAGCAGGATGCAACAAAGTCCTTGCCTCTGCCCTTTCTTGCTATGCTCTTTCTGGCTATGAAAGGAGTGATGGTGAAGGTTCAAATCAGGAAGCTATGGGTTCAGAAATCTGTGATGTACTGGGAAGGGAGAGGCGCCAGGATGAAGATGAATTTGAAGATCAAGGTTGTTTCCTATCACCCACCTTGAGGACAAGGTGGTTGTTCAAGGGGGGAGATATGATAGGGACATGGACCTCCAATAAAAATAATAATAGTAGAATTATACTAAGGAGTGTGATATTGTATAAAGAAGGGTTTTGGGCTAGGTACTAGTTAGCTTGGGCCGGCCCATAAGGGAATTTATTATAAATAGGAGTGGAGTAGAATAAGAGAGTAGGCAGAATTTGGATCTGGAATTAGACCTTGGGAATGTTGAGACGACTCGAACGGTCTCTATTGTATCTTTTTGTTTTCCGTTCACTACTATCATATCAATTCTACGCCAATTTTCATCTCTCCGACTCTGGTTCCTAATAAAAGATCACACCATGTGTAACAACTGCACTAATCACCCCCCCCCCCCAGTCTCTATTCATTAGAGGCATCAGCAGGACCAACAAGGACCCCCTGACCGAACACTCTCCTCTTCTTGCACCTCACTATCTGGCTTTCTCATCCTTGTTTTGTACTTCGCCTCAAACTCAAAAATCTCTTTCTTCTTCTTCTCCAATGCTTCACTGAGATGAGCAATCAATTCCTGAAGCCCCTCCTTGTTGCGCTGCACAGCGGGCAGCACTTCTTCTCAACAAGTACACCTCCAATCAGCCTGTATCACCGCCTTGATGGGTCAAGCGGCTCTATGAAATTCATCACCAGAGTGTCTTCATTGGCTTCCATCTCTAGTTCGGTGATTTTGGAATATATTTGGTTCATCTCAGACCTTAAAGAACTGTATATGTTGGCCAGGGCCGGCCCTAAGAATTCTAGGACCCTGTGCGAACAAAAAAATTGGGTCTTTTTTCTAATGCAAAGAAAAACCAAATGTATTTACCTTTGTGTACATAATATAAACCAATTTTTACTATGTATTAAATTTTATGAATCAAAATCATTTCGAAAAGAAAAAAGTAAATAAAGATATGTAAATCCACTATGATTTAAAAGAGCAAAAGTAAAAAATAAAATCACAGAAGCTTGCACAAAGCTTCGAACACATAACCTGTAACCTAAGCCTATTGGTACTCCACTCGTGTCTTTCCGCTGTGCTGTCGAAGAGTTAGCTGCTGCTAATAGCATTTAAGAGATATAAACTAATACTGGTAGTAATTTTTGGGCCTTCATTTTATATGGGCCCTGTGCCATTGCACAGCCCACACCTGGCTTGGGCCGGCCCTGATGTTGGCAACTGCTTGCTCATTGATAGGAGGTTCATTCACATTCTCAGCTTTGGCAGCCTATGTGTAGTACTCGGTCGGGATATTAGAAAAACGGCATGGTGTAGGTTGCGTCTGACTAAGTGGACTTCGTACGGCATTAATGTATCAAAACATAAATGGCACTTACGTATAAAAACATGGCACTTAATAATAAAAAACATAAATGGCACTTAATGTTTTATTTAAATAAAAAACATGGCCTTTGTAGATGTAAAAATATGGCACTTTCAGAGAAAAATTATGACATTTTCATGTGAAATTATGAGATTATTACCGGATTAAAGTAGTTGTATTTCAAACTGAGAAATGTAAAAAAAGAGAGAATAAATTAAAATTAAAAATCATAAGTACTATTGCCATGTTGATAGAGTTAGTGCCATAAAATAGCATTATTTGCCAAGTAGATAGGAAAAACATAGCACTTTACAACTGTAATTCCAAAATAATATTGTCCATAGTATTTTTAGATTTAAATTATTAGTTTGAAAAGTTTAAATGAATTAATCGAAAATAACAAAAAAACAACACAAATATTTAGATATCAACGGCAGTTCATGTATAACAATCTAAAAGTTTCAGATTCAAAATAGATTTTTTTATTTGAAATCTCACAATTAAATTAAATAATTAGAAGAAACTAAGAAAAAGTTCAAAATGAGAAGAAAACATTGGTGGACGATGATGAAGTAGGAGGAGCAGAAAAAGAAATAGGAAGAAGAGAAGAGAAAGAAAAAGGAGGAGGAAGAGGGGGGGAGATGAAGAATATAAACCTCTCATATTCAATACGACTACAAGAGTTCGCCGATTGGCGGAAGATAAATTAGAAGAGAGAAAAAAATGGCCGGAGATAGGGTAGAGAAAATCATCTCCGGACTATGAAATTAGCTAGAAGCCTAGAACTGTTGGAGAAATTAATTTAGATATGTGGATTGGAGATGAAGAAGGTTGGTGGGAGATGAGAGAGAAGGTTCCTGCAGGAAGATTTGAGGTGGAGGTGATATATGACAAATACGTACTAAGAGATAAGAGGGGAGAGAGTTAGGTTGCATGACGGAAGGGAGGAGCAGAAGAATAGTAAATATGGGAGGGGGTAAATTTGGAATTGGAGCTCCTATTACGGGAATATCAAAAGAATGGTCCTATTTTTGCACCAGTGTTATGTTTTGCTCCTATTTGAAGCAATTTCTTAAAGAACAATACTGAGTTACTGACTGCCAAAATATCACTGTTGGAGTGTTGGTATAGTTAGCGCACCTCAGCATATGATGCAACCAAAACAAAGCCAACAATACGCCAGTCCAGCAAGAACACCAAAGCCAATGTCTCTGCCACCTTGAATTATGATGCATTATACCCTTCATGGTCATTATGCACACCAAAATAGCCACCCCTTCTGTCATTTATATAATAATAAACCACATAAAATGAATTTATCGTGTGACTGCAATAAATGAAGAAATAAATTCCCCATGATTATTCTAAGAATAGAATATCATCCGAATAATTTGAACATTTGGTTAAGTTTGCTACACCAATTGCCCATTGTGCTCATTTACCCTATTCTACACATTCCATAAAAAATTCATGAATCGTGTATTCAATTGAGTCAATATCTTCACAACAAGTGCAATGCTCAAAGAGGAATGAAACATGAGATACTATGTACGTAGAGTCTTATACTACCATTACTAAAGTCGGCTTAAAACATCAATACTTGCAGATCATGTAGAGCATTAAAAATATCTGGTATGATAAGATATCATTGCAATTTGCAAGAAGACTAAAGGGGACAAACCTGCAACAATGATGCTACCAGGGTCAACTTCATACATAAAGTAAGCATGATGTCGCTGTTAATTTGAACAGAAACAACAAACGTGAAGTACATATATGGATAACAAAAAGGAAAAGAATAAACGACAATGTCAACTTTTCATTTTCAAATTTTGAACTGTCCACATCCAAGCATAATCAGTTTCTCAGGATTATTCTCTGGTTCCAAAATACAGTAAACGTGAACATTATCACAAAATTACAACTTCATCGCCTCAACTACAAGTAATTTAAGTTTCAAATTCGAAGAAAAGAGAAGCATCCGAGAAAAGTATTTCTGTGAGTTTTTTCCTGTTTTGTGTTCTATTGCTTTTTGGATTTTGAGAAACGTGGACAACTTTTTCTAGATAATAAAGGTCGAGCGGTATGATTTTCTTAATCAAATTTAGAAAACTCCAACATTTGCATATGCAAACATTTGCATACGCAAATTTCAAGAGCCCAACAGAATATGTAACGTGAAAGGAAAGTAGGTACATTCACATTCCTGACACAGAATAAAATTTAGAAAATACACAGATAACACAGCCATCAAGATTCCCAAAAAAGTAAGAAGAAAAAAGAAATTGCATTGGCAAAGAAAATACCAATTCCCATGGAAAATACGCCTGCTGATAGATTGAGAAAATGAGGAATCCAACGTAGCAGAACAGGAGCCCAGCGAAAACACTCTACAAACGTTTAAAAAAGAAAAGTGAAATGAAAAGACCAAATGGAGTAAAGAAAAACAGGTTATCATACCCTCCACATGAGAGATTGCTGAGCTTGAGCTCTCTCGAACTTCCGAACCAGTTCATCTTGTTCTGAATAACCAATATTTGTTTAATTCAATTACATGTGAGAAGATAAATACCCCGTATGTATCCACTGCGAGGGGTAAACAGATACCGTGAGAGTAGATAGGTCGAGAATCGTCTCGAGTGGGAAGAAAAAAAGTATCTTCTTCCTCGTGGTGAAAATCGCCTCGAGACTGCCTCCATTTCCTTGCAAGCTTCTGCATCTTCTCAATGAAAATCGTGCAACGGAAATAAATGAAATCCCAGAAAATTCAAATGCATCCTCACTTAGGCAAAACTTTGCAAAATTTCATTATTGAGTAACATCAAGTCAATCATCCTAAATCTTAATCACAAAAGATTTGGGATTAGGGGTGGGATCGGTCCGGTCTGGGTCGGGTTTTTCCTGGACCAAAAAATTACTCGTAACATCCCGGTTATGAAAATTAGGGACTGAAACAAAGTCATTATATTCGGTCTGAGTTGGATTTTTTATAGCCGACTTCGGTCCGGGTTCGGATTGGACCAGTTAAAGCCCGAACGTGAAATAATTTCATTGTCTTTTTATATTTTAAAACATATTTTCAAATAAAAATAATCAAAAATAGAAACCGCAAATAATAACACAAATATTAATTAGTCTCCGAAGTCACCAACAATTCAAATCCAAAGAGGATAATTATCTTAATATTTTGTTTAAGATGCATATAAATAAATAATATAGGTTTTCAAAAAATATTACAAAATAAAACTTATGGATAAAGATGTGACTAAAGTTACAATAAATATATCTTCATTATCATTACGGTAAACAAGTTGAACATATTTGTAGTCACTAAACATATTTGGGCCCGTTAATGAACCCTTATATTTGATTTCAGTCCGAGTTTTTTGTATTCGGGCCGGATAAAAAGAAAAAAATCATACAGGGAACATCATTCGGGTCGAGTCAGGGTCGGTTTCAGGGTTTCGGTTCGGTTTTTCCCACCCCAACTCCCCGCCTATCAAAGGACGAAGTTTTGCGGCGCCCGAGGGTCGATCCAGCTCGGGGAGGAAAGGCAGTGTGTGAGGCCATGTCCTGGGCAGCGATCCCTTCGTCGTTGCCTATGAAGGTGACAATGAAGGTAGGGATGGCGGCATTGTGTTTTCCCCTCTCTTAGGCATGAGGGCGCTCGAGGCGGTAGGGTTCTAATCTGGGCGAGATTGACAATGATGGGCGAGAATGCAACATAGACCTGAGGGTCCACAAGGGGAGTAGTTTGTGGGAGCTGAGCGTTCTTGCCCTTTTCCTTGCGCCTCTCTTTGAGGCCGATGCGAGCATTTGGAGAAGTGATGTTGAGCTGGTTGCGAAGATCATGCGCAGCATGGTCAGCGTTGCCGAGGAACTCAACCTCCTCGGCTGCTTTGTCAATTGTAGCGTCCCCTGACCTTTCCTTTCCCGTTGAATCCGAGGGTCGGGGAGGGCCTTGCCCGCGGTGACCTTGTTCGATCTTGTCTTTCCTATTTCAGTTAGTAGTGTCTGGTAGTGACGAGGGTAATAACTTGATTGTTATATATAGCTCTCAATGAAAGCACCAAATGATAGAGTATAGATATAGAGAGAAGTGAGAGATAGAGAGAAAGTTTTTTTACAATTAATATTTCTCAAACTCGTACAACTACCCCCAATGAGAGTATTAATAGAGGAAGTGCGAGTTGTGCTCCCAAACTCTAGGCCTGGGCGGCCCGGTACAATAGTGGGCCGTTAATGAGCTGATTACATGAATTCATAGAGCTAAGTGTAATGTATAAGCTATTGGTATGGTATTGGCCGGGGGAGCCTTGGCCGAGTGAGGCATTATACGAGGATGTCACTTCGTTCCAGATCTCTGATCCCGGGTTTCTGAGGTTTCCCGTGGAGTCCGCATTGTCTGGCCGAGGGAGCCAGCCTCGCGGTGGATGTCCAATGGTTCTTGTCTTCTATGAGTGTGTGGGGTCTGGGTCCATATACTCTATCAGAATACTTTATCAATTTATTCAGGGATCTAATTTTTTAACTATCCAGGAAGGCTGGTAGGTCAGTGTAGCCGAGCTTGGCGCACTTGTCCCGGTCAAACAGAATTGACTTGTTCGCAACAAATCTGGAATCTACGAGTGTGTGTCTTGTTCGGCCAGCGAGATTGGGCATCAAACTTACGAGAAGGACCCTTAGATCGGCATACCAAACATCCATGACCTGGGTGTTGGTCCTATTATCGCCTTGATGCGTACGGTTTCTCCTGGACTTGGAAGATAATTATTTTATTATTCTCGTGAGGTTGGCCATACAACGGGGTGCTGGCCCTGCGTGATCAGCGGATGGATCCACACCGCCAACCCGGGCCGACGAGAATGTGATCTGCTTGTCTAGCGATATTGGAGTACTCAAAAGGACTCAAAGGTCAGCATGTTGAGCACTCGCGACACGGAGGTCAGGCCTATTGTCGTTTTGACTGTCACGTCTAGCTCCTTACTTAGAAAATCACTTGCATTTGAAAAAAAACACTTGTTTATTTTATGTTTGAGAGCCAAGCCGATTTTGGCCAAACACCGAGGGGCATAGTACCTCATTTTAACTGTTGTCCCACATTGCCAAGTGGGATCGGACCTCTTTTGTAATATCAGGTCAAGCATTTTAGTTTTTGTTATAGGCACATTGTTAAGGTAATCTTGCCTCTCTAATTTCACTATTATTCACATATTACCGATGACTTCATGTCTTGAGACTTGCGCAGAGGTATTAAGAACATTGTGATGCAAAAAATCACGGATTCAAATCCCCTCAGACAACTTTAATAGAACTATTAATTTTGACTTTATACATGATGCTATGGAACTAATGTCAATAAGAACCAAGAGTTAGATTGTTGGGAATCATTAGCAAGCGATCATTTAAAAACATATTCTTGTTAATCTTAATTGGAAGTCTTAGAAATTCGGAAGGCAATGTATACATGTCAGGTCTCAACCTAGAACACCTCGATTTTATAAGAAAACTAACATTCACATGTTTCTCATTGTCTTCTGCCTATTCTGCTCTACATGGAGATCATCTATCAATCCTATCCAATGCACTTATTTGGAACTCTAAGCAGTCTCTCAAGTTAAGTGTGTTATTCTGGAGGTTAGTGAACAACCTCTTACCATTACCTCATAAATTTTGCCGTTTTAGAGTGATGCTTCCATCTAGATGTCCTTTTTGTAAAGTTGCAAATGCAAAAAAAATGGAAAAAGATAACTTAATTTCTATCAAAAACGACGACCAGATACAAATTCGCCATGTAAAAAGCTACACTGGGATGAGACTCAAAGTTGGAGTCACACTTAACAACGGCCCAACTCGTTAATCCCGCAATGTGCTAGACTCTATTAATAGCAATGTTGCACCTTTTACTAGAATGGAAAACAGGAATAACAGAAGAGTTCTGAGAAAACAAAGAAAAATAATTAGAACAATATCCAGTTTTTTCAGCCACTGACAAGGAGACACCGGTTTGACCAGCCCCAGCCAAAGGTTCCACTTGCACATCACATAGATCCCCGATCACCGGCGGTGCTCTCCAAACAGCACTGCCACCTGCAAGTTGTTTTGATCCGCATCATCAACATCCATATTTTCTTGAACACCCTGCTCGCTTACCAGTTCAATGACCTGGTGTTTCCTTGATTCTTCCTGGGTACTTGCAACTTCCTTGCCCTTTGAGATATGCCCTTCCACCACATAGCTTCCCTGATTAGTTATAGACTTGCCCGAGGATTCTGAGACCTCCCCATCATCCATTTTGTCAATTGGTCTGTTATTACTAGGGATCAGCAACCTAGTACTCGGGTGCACCCCCTACCCCCACCCCGCCTCATATTAGCACGTAACCATGACCACTTTGAGGATTAGAAGGGCAAAAATGCATGGCCAAGGAGCCCACACAAGAACCAGAAATTTGGGAGTCTCTCATAACAAAAATCTGCCATACCCAGTTATCTCTCTCCTATCGTACCTGCAAGCGCTTAGTCAAAGCCATAGTTATTGTTTAAGCAATATTTTGATAAGTTAAAATTAATTAAAAGGGAAAATGTATATCGATCGGGTCTCGTACAAGAACACTAAGAAAGATGACAAGAAAAATAAGAAAGATGTCAAGGGAGCAAAATAGAATGTAATTTTGTGTGTAATTCGAATGAGGAGCCTCCCCTTACAATAGAGCTTGTTCCTACATATAAAAGAGGTAATTAATGCCCCTTTGTGTGTTATTGACTGTTTTGACCGTTATCACGGCATTCAAAGTCGTCATCAACATCGGTCAGCCCATTTGAGTAACTCATGCCTTAACTACATTAATAGCCGCGATAATACATGCAAAATCGTTATCATAACTAGCTAGCACTAAGCCTAATAAAATGTGTCATTAATTGTCGCGGTCAAGTCTCTTAAATGTAGAATAAGTTGTCAAATTCTTGCTCCAACACCATTTCATATACTCGCCATTTTGCCTTATTGTGTAACACTTGAGATTAATTTAAAGGGATTAATAGTACTGTAATACTTGAGATTTAATTTAAACAGATTAATAGTACTACTCATACCAACAAGGTGCATCTCCTTTTAAGGGAGCTCATCAGCTAAGAACTCTAAAGTTAAGCGTGCTTGCACAGGAGTAGGCTTGGGATGGGTGACCCCCTGGAAAGTTTCTCAGGGCGCGCATGAGTGAGGGTGAAGTGCGCGGAAAAGGCTAGTGACGGTTTGTGAGGACAGTACTAGAGGTCTGGAGGGTGTGTAGGAGTAACTGCCTCGGGCCCTACGGGGCGGGGTCTTACAGGTGGTATCAGAGCAACCCTGCGATAGTGTGCTGATCTGTTGGATATCGGGCGGACACTTAGCAGGGGAAAGATCTTGGGGTTTAATTGAGATTGGTGTCCGGGCGCAACGAGGACATTGTGTTCCTAAATGGGTGTGATTGTAATACTTGAGATTTAATTTAAATGGATTAATAGTACTACTCATACCAACAAGGTGCATCTCCTTTTAAGAGTTCTCATCAGCTAAGAACTCCGAAGTTAAGCGTGCTTCCACGGGAGTAGTCTTGGGATGAGTGACCCCCTGGGAAGTTTTTCAGCGCGCGCACGAGTAAGGACAAAGTGCACGAGAAAGTCTAGTGGCGGTTTGTGAGGACAGTACTAGAGGTTTGAAGGGTGTGTATGAGTAACTACCTCATGGCCAAGGATCACACTTAATATGTGTGTAATGATCCTTGGATCAATTCTTGTCATATCGTCATGACTCCAAGCAAAAAAATCCTTATGCTCTT